CTTGAGATTTAAATGGAATTGGCTCAGACTCAGCCTACATACAGTGGGAATAGCACAATGTTTCTTCCTATCTCTCTGGGAATTCTGAGATTATGATTTATGCTTTTCCAGGTCACTTCTGGTGCCAAGCTTCTGTTCTTGGTGATTTACTTCATTTGTGGATTGCCGTACTGCCCAGCATGCATTCCCTGGCTATACCATGTTGCTATAGAGAGGGAAAAGAGACCCCTTCGTTGATATCCCTCACAAAACCCCACTGGCACAAAGCTTTGGTGTATGTAGTCGAATCTTACTAAAGGTTAGAAACAATAGAGTGGCGTTATGTTACCAAGTCACGGAGCAAAGATTCATAAATTTTTTACCTCTTAACTCTCTTCTTAAAACCACTCCCCCCGCTTGTGTTCCCTCTCTCACTGTATCTCTCTCTGTCAAATAAAGAAAGAAAATCTTAAAAAAAAAAAAAAAAGTACTTTGACTGACTTCATTCATCACCAATTTCAGTCAAGGTTCTTTGTGACAAGGAATAGCCACAGAAATTTTGGCTGATTTAAGCAGGAAAGGAATCTCATAGAGGACTGAAGAACCAGATTGGGAGTTTGTGTCTCCTGAAAGGATGCACAAAATCATGCTGTGGAATTGGTCCAGTGAAGAAGCTTCAGCTGTCCCTGCTGGGCAGTGAGTTACATCCCACCTTGCACACTGACAAGAGGAGACCGTGCAGCTCTAACTGATGCCATGGTGGCTGCTGCTGTTGCCACCCTTCTCCAGAATGTATTTATTCTCTGTTGTGCCTGCTTTGTGGCATCATTAGTCCCCTGTTCAAAATCTAGGGCAGGTGCATTTCATTGGTGTGGTGTAGGTCACACGCCCAGGTCTAGATGCAAGAGAGGCTGGGACAGCAGTCTTTCCCCCAAATGTGAAGGATTCTCAAATCCCCTGAGGCAAGTTGTTTATTGCAAATGTTCTCTATGCCAGTGCTTCCTGAACTTCCATGTGTTTGTGAACCATCTGGAGATCTTGTTGAAATGCAGCTTCTGATCCAGTAAATCTAAGGTGGGGCCTGAGATTCCATAGCACCCAGATGATGCAAAGCTGCTGGTCTGAGGACCACACTTTGAGTAGCAACGCTCTATAGCAAAGATTTTTCAAATTTAGTTGCATATTGGAGTAACTTGAGAAACACTTTTAAAAAAAATATTGATGTCTGGATCTCACCCTCAGCTGATTTAATTGGTCTGGGGTAAGGCCTGGGAATATAAACTTTTAAAAGCCTTCAGATGATTACAATGTACTCAGATTGGATCTTTCACTTCAGGCTTCAACTTCTTGTCACTTTTCAAGATTATCTCTTTTTTCCAAATTGTGAGATTTCCGCTTTTCCAGCCTTGCTTGGTTTTCCCTTCAAATTCAATTACTCTCGTTTATTATGCGGAACAATTTGACACTCCACCCCTCAGTTCCTTGGACCTAATTTTGCATATCCAAAGATTAAAAGAGTTCTCCTAGCCCAGCCCTTTCCAAAAATATGTAACCTGTTGCTCTGGAAGAGTGCTATCTGAAGTGATCCGTGGACAAACAGTGTTTTTAAATTTTAATAGTTATTTATTTACTTTGATGTGAATTGCTAAAAAAAAAGTAACTAACACAGTAAATGTGATTTCATAAATACTACTACTTAGGACAATGAGTCATTTTTTAAAATTAGGTAAATAATGATATGGAGATTCAGAGCAGATACAATAAAAATCTTGAAAATGGTGTGTAAATGAATGAAGTTTGAGAGTGCTTATACTACTTATAAGCCTTCTATTAAAAATCCCAGGCTTTAGGAACACAAAAGACCTGGTAGAGGAGTTAAAATCGGCCTTTTTTCCTCTCCCTTCTCTTCCAGTCCTTGGAGGATAAGGAAGCAGGATAGAGATTTATTTCTGAACTGATATGAATTATGCTACCAATCTTAATAAATTGACATGGCTACTGATCTTAAATAAAATTTTTTTTCTATTAAGTGAAGATTTTATAAGGTTTCAAGGAAATACCACCAACATTTGAAAAAGTCATAATCTAGACAAAAATAACTGTAAGAATTGAAAACTGTAAGAATGGAAAATAGGTTAAATTCTTTAACCAGTTAATCTTTGATAAGAAAATGGGTGAAAAAAATCTTTTAAGATTTTATTATTTATTTTATTTGAGAGAGAGAGAGAGCACAAGCAGGGGGCAGGGAGAGGGAGAAACAGATTCCCCATCAAGCAGGGAGCCTGACGTGGGGCTTGATCCCAGGACCCTGTGATCATGACCTGAGCCAAAGGCAGACGCTTAACTGACTGAGCCACCCAGGTGCCCCCAGGTGAAATTTTTTAGATTTGTTGAAAGCTCATCCACGAACCCACAAAGCCAAAAAACTCCTAAGCAGAAGAAAATTTTCAAACTGCCCTAGTGACATTATTGTGAACTTTCTAGAACACCAAAGCAAAATAGATCTTAACCAGGATTATATTAACAGATTCCTCGGTAGCAACAGAAACTAGAAGATGATAGAATAATATGTTCAATATTCTGAGAAAAAAGACAACTGTAAACCTAGAATTATATATCCAGTAGAATTATCTTCAATGATCAAGAGCAAAAGAAAAGTATTTCAGGTGGGGAAAAAAATCTGAGCACTTAACCACATCACACTCTCATTAAAGGAAATTCTGTAGAATTTACTTTAGGCGCAAGGAAAAGAATCCAGAAAGATCTGAGATATGCAAAGAAATGGTAAGCAAATCATTTTGACAGATGTTGGTGGATCTAAAAAACATGATGTCTAATTTATAGAAGGAAAAGAGGATAGAACTAAAGTAATGAATAACAAGAGTTTATAAATTTGGAGGGGTTGTGCAGAGTTAAAACATCCTAAGAGCTTTGAATTATTCAAAGTAAGTAAAGACATTTATTAGTTTTAGACTTTAAGTTTACATATTAAAATAGTAGAATCACCTTAAAATATATAGAGTGTATTGCTCTAAATAAATAGTGTTTTGATATTTTTCACTGTGAGTGTATCTCAAAGGGTCCTTTCTTACAAGTATCCTGTTGAGCCTTTTATGGAAACATCCTTCCAGGTTGGTTTTATGTCTGTTTCTGCAAGGCATTCCAGATCTCTTGTCTGAGATCTTTTTGGGAAGGAAGAAGGGGTTGGGGAATCAGTTTCTAGGTTTTGAGATTCTAACGACATGTAAGTGCTAACAGTTATACTCCAAACTCTTATGAAATGCAGACAATAGGTTTTCAAAATTTCATCAGAGTTAAATTATTTTTATTTTCATCCAGAAATGGGACAAACTTCCTCATCTGGTTATCTACTTGGTGTTTTATATTTTCCCTAATCTATCCTTTTCCTGAGGATGATGTCTTTCAGGGACAATGGCTTTCTGTAGTGTACTGGGTTCCAGCTCCCACCTTGAGCTACTTCAAATCCTTATCTCCTGCCCATATACTTCTTGGCCTCAAGTTAGAGACTAACAACATCTTGCCCACGCTTAGGATTACCAACTATCCTGGTTTGCCTGGGACCTGGTTCTATGGGGTTTGGGGGTTTTTTTCATTGCTAAAACCAGGAAAGTCCAGGGCAAACTAGTTGATTGGTCCTCTTACACCCCAGCCCCCGTACAGAAGAATCTGTTTAAGAAGTAACTACTCTGCGGCGCCTGGGTGGCTCAGTTGGTTAAGCAACTGCCTTCAGCTCGGGTCATGATCCTGGAGTCCTGGGATCGAGTCCCGCATGGGGCTCCCTGCTCAGCAGGGAGTCTGCTTCTCCCTCGGACCCTCCCCCCTCTCATGCTCTATCTCATTCTCTCTCTCAAATAAATAAATAACATCTTTAAAAAAAAAGTAACTACTCTGGTTTTCAGTTTAATTTCTGGCATCTTCAGATTTTCCTTCATTTCCTATAGGTTTGGCTGAATATTAAAAATAAGGTTAGTTGTTATTTTATCCAGTGATGCTAGGTGTTGGTAGTGAGAAAGTTTTCAGGTTACAGAAGTCCACCACTATTCCAGCTTACAAGGTAACATTTTAATGCTTTTCATCAGTACAAAAGTGAAATTTGAGCATTAAAGTCATAGCTGGTTATCCTGTGAGTAAAGAATACTGAAGTGGTTCCCAAACGTGTGTGATTTGCTCCACCAACTGCTCTACAGCTCACCCTTGCTCTAGGTCTTGTTTCTCAGACCTTGAGAATGTTCTAGAATTCTCTAAGCAGGCCTGGTTTCTTCCTGTAAGGCCTAGAAAATAAACTCTCGCCCTTGCAATTTAAACTCCCTAAGGGAAGAAATGTTTGACTGTTTTCTTGAATTCTGTATCTGCGGTACCTGGTTGTAGTCACTAAATACCCTCAACATGTTTCTTGGAACTAGTGAACGCCCTGAACACTAACCAACTTGGTCTGCCCTATCTGGTGTTTCGTCCAATCCAACTCCATCTACCTCAAACCTGGCAGAAAAGTGCTCAAGTTTGTGGACTTTTGGGGTCTCCTTCCCTGTTGTTTATAGACTTGGTTCTATTTTCACTTTCTGTAGGCATCTAATTGATTTTGGGGGCGATGACAAAATAATCGTTATCGGCCTAATCCTATACGTTCAGGGCGCCATTTTGAAACTAGAGCCTAGACGCATTAAAACTTTTTTAAATTTTAACATATGTTTAAAGATGCATACTCATTTCAAGTGCGCCTCAAAGGCATTTTCGGGGTGACATCTGTGTCGGGGGGGCTGGGGGAATGTCTGTCAGTCTGTCTGTCTCACAGCTGTACTTCCCTGGCTGCGAAGTGCCGGCCCGCGCGCACCCCCTGCACACCCCCGATCGGGGAGCAAGCGTCCCCCCCAAGCCCCCCCGCAGGGGGCGGGGAGCTGCCGCCCATTGGCTGAGGCGTCTACCACGAGCCCCAGTACCCGGCGCCGGAGCCACCTCCGGGAGCCCCGCAGGCCACGCCTCAGTTCGCCAGCGCCCCTCAGCCTCGCCACTCAGCTCTTAGGGCTCCTCGCCCTCGCCGCTCGCCATTGATTTTCCTTAGTCCTCTTTTATCCCTTTGCCCAGTCGAAGCCAGGCAGCGCCACGAGCAGAGCCAACAGCAGCCCCAAGAGTGGTGCCAGAAGCGCAGCCTCCGCTCCTCCTCGAGCCCCATCAGCGGGAACTGCTAGCTGCCGCCATCATGGTGAGTTGAGGAGAAGGCCTGAAGGGCATACGCCGGGTTGGGTCCTCCCGGGTGGCGGAAACTCGGCCTTTCTAGCGCGGCGCAGAAGGGGTGGGCAGAAAGCAGGGGTCACCCCGCTTCCCTGTTCCTGGGTGCACCACAGACAAGGCCTGAGAGACGGCCCAGGGGGTGGAGGAGGGGCGGGATGCCCGCGGGTATCGCAGTGGGTGCGGCCCTGGGGACTCGCTGTGCCGCCCGCCGACCACGTGCAGGGTCGTGGCCTTCACGCCGCCCCGCCTGCCTCCCGCCGGCGCCGGCTGGGCTGTGGGGGCAGCCCGCGGGGTGGGCCGCCGGGACTCGGGGACCGGGGCGGGGGGAGGCACCGCGCGCCCGCCCCACCCCCACCCCCACCCCACAGGCCTCCCTTCCCGCGCTTACCGTGTGGAGAGGAGGCGGCGCATCCTCCGCGAGATGGCGTCAGGCTGCCGCCTCCCGAACGCCCGCTGGCGCCGTCTCTCTGAGGAGTTTCCTTGGCTAGTAGTTCCTTCCTTCCCGGCCCACGGGTAGGGTGGGGGTGGACTAGGGGGGTGTTGGGGCGGTGCGCTCACACGGGGAACCGGGCGGCGGGCCGGGACTGGAGAGCCTCGGTGGCGGCCCCTCGTGCTGACTTGGCGCTGAGGGCTCCCTCGTGCGGCGACTACAGGCGGAAAACTCGCCCGACGCCATTATTTCCACACGAGGTCGGCCAGCCTGTGCTGCTGCGGGACCGTAGACCTGAGCAGTTGACAAGTTTTGTGTTTGAGGGGGACACTGGGGACACTTTTTTCTCTCCAGATAAACCAGGAATTTCAACATAACGTACATACAGTAATACTTGCTCTTTGGGGCGTGCGTTTATGTGAGTTTGGGTAAATGTAGAGTTGATTCACCACGAGATGCAACTCTGAACACTTTTGACCAAACTTTACCTCACGGATGTATTATATACTGTGTGGATTTATAGTATGATCATTATTTTCCAATTTTAGAGCTAAAGGGAGGAAATTTATGTAGTTTATATTCCTATATATAAATACTAAAATGAAAATGTATACGTATTATTCTGTAATATTTGTGTTATGTCGTTATCCATGTTACTAATTACTTAATCACTGAGTTACTATAAAAAGATTCTAGTATATTTTTGCTCTATATTTTTATAGGAAAAGGGGGGAGATGCTAATACCCCCTTTTTTTTTTCTGATTATAACTTACAGCTTATTAACTCATTTGAAAGTAATCACTGTAAGAAAACAAGTCCGTCCCAGCACCTCTAACTACTGGTCAGGTTATGCCTTTCCAGATTGTTTTTATGCATGTATTGCATGTAGATAGGTAAATTTATTTGTACCATGCCACATAATACTATTTTATTTTATATTCTATATTCTTCACCTAATGTATTGGACCTTATTTCAAAGATAAATTTTAAATGATTTCAAATATGTTAAGATTATAAGATTATATCATTACTTATTTTTATCAAATTCCCTTATAATGAATACTTTTTCTGAATGAAACAATACTGTAGTAAGTATATGCAAATGTTTTGGCATGCTTATTCCATTAGTTCCTTGAAATTAATAGCCAGGAGTGGAAACAACTGGGTGAAAGGATTATGCCCATTTTATAACAATTTAAAATTTTATCTTTCCAAGTTACTCTTAATGGAATAGGTACTAGTATGTATTCCCACTATATGTAGAGTGATCTCTTCTCCACACTCTTCCCAGTGAGAGTTGTTATACTTTTTAAAGTTGCCAATCTGATAGCTGGAAAATATGTTTTGATGTGCTTTTTTTTTTTGATCATTAATGAAGTTCAAGTCATTAGCTTTCAAAATTTCTTTTTATAAATTCTGAATGCACCTTTATATTTAGATGTTTATCTTTTTTTAAGGATTTATAAGAACTCTGTTAATTCTTTGTCATTTACAGTGGTGATAAAGAGTTGCCTTTATTTCCTGATTTCAGAGGAAGTGGCTGTTTCATTTTAAGTCCGATGTTAGCTTAAAATTACATCAACACAGAAGATTCTTCCCTTTTACGTAGGTTTCTAAAAATTAAAAAATGAATGGTATATTTTATAAAATGCTTTTTCAGTGGTGAGTTACAGTAATAGATTTCCTAAGAACGAACCATCCTTGAATTTTCAATATAAACTGTTCTTAATTGTATGTTTTTTGTATACTGCTGGAATTTTACAGCTCTGTGTTAGGGACAGAGGTGGACCATTTTGATAAGGTTTTGTTATTTAGGTGTTAGTTTTGTAAAATGTATTGAGTAATAACTCTTCTCCCCTCTTTCCTCTGGAATTTTTTTCAATTAAAGTGACTGAATTTTTAAGTCTTTGGTTCATTTAAGTGATCTCTACGCCCATTGTGGAGCTCAAACTCACAACCCCGAGATCAAGAGTCAGGAACTCCACTGACTAAGCTAGCCAGGCACCCCTGAATTTTCTTTCTCCTACACTCTGTCTTTTATCTACCATTGTTTCTGTCTTGGTGCCCGCCACATACACACAACTACACATGCGCAAATAATCTGTTTCTTTACAGTTTGAAAAAACTCGCAGTGAAACTGAGCTAAGAATCAAGTATTCTTTCTTAAGATTGTTTTTTAAAATCGACATTTTTTCCAGAAAGTTGGCCATTTCACCAAGGTTTCCAAATTTACTTTGAGAGTTTTTACGTAGCGTTCTCTTATAATCTGTGTTTATATCACCTTTTTCAAGACAAATGTGTATTTTTGCTTTCTTGCCCTTTTTCTTGCTTAGCTTTGTTTATTGTTTGGATTTCCCCCGCTAAGGGTCCACTCTTGTATTTACTTATGAGGTTTTATTCTGCTTTTCATTTCCTATTTCCTTTTAGCTTTTCTCTTTATTAGCTACTTCTTCTGTGGATAGAACTCTGATGACTACAAATTAGACCCTTTTTGTAGTCGTTTATAGATAGATCTTAGTTTGCCTTGCATGTAGATAAAATAGTTGAATGAAATAATGTTAGCTGACAGCCCAGGAGCTTTAGTAATGATACAGGCTTTTTTCAGCTTTTAGTTATTTTTGTCATTTCATTATCCACGTGTAACAGGGAATATATTACTGTAAATAGCAGTGATGAGAATTGTGTATATAATGGCCTCCAAGTTCCCCCCCCCCCTTAATATCCTAGCATTACTCATCTTAAAACCCACCAACTCACTTGAAGGTATAATTAAGAGAAATAATTACTTATGTTAAATTTACCTTAAATTTATTTTCTGTATACTATTTTTTTTTTAAGATTTTATTTATTTATTTGACAGAGAGAGACAGCGAGAGAGGGAACACAAGCAGGGGAGTGGGAGAGGAAAGCAGGCTTCCCGCCAAGCAGAGAGCCCGATGCGGGGCTCGATCCCAGGACCCTGGGATTATGACCTGAGCCGAAGGCAGACGCTTAACGACTGAGCCACCCAGGCACCCCTATTTTCTGTATACTATTGATAGTTAAGATTAATACTTTAACACCAAAATTTTCTTTAACCTAAGCATTTATTTGTGGAGTATTTCTGGCAATAGTTTAAAAGTATTAAAGGTTGCTTATTGGTTGTGGATGTTGTATATATAAATTATAGTTATATGTAAATATACACATAGTAAAAGCTTAAAAATCCCTCATCAGTCTTGTTAAAATGGAGTACTTTGCTTACTTTGTTAGCTTTGAGTGCCCCCTGCTGGCTGAAGACTAAGACAGGATAGGGCCTTAAGATGTTAAGACATGAGTAAAATGATTTGATAACTATTACGTTTAATTTCTCAGTTAACCAAACTGAATTTGAATAAAGCAATCCCAAACCAAACGTCCTATAATATGTAATGGCCTTCCTCCCCACCCCCCCAAATTATTGCTTAGTGTCTCAAGTATCCATTTTACTTCTGTAAATCAAGTATGAGAATTACAACTTTGCTTTTCAATTCTGGACACACTCTCACAGGGTTTCTCAACCATGACTCTATTCACATTTTGGGACAGGTAATTTGTTGTGGGAAGCTACTTTTGCAGCTTTATAGGATGTTTATAGGATGTTTCCTGTATCCTTGGCCTCTACCACCAGCTATAAGGAGTACCCCTTAGTTGTGACAACCAAAAATGTCCTTGGACCACAAAATCTCCCCTGGTTGAGAAATAATACATTATTATAACCCCTTATAATCTGGCACAGTTTTCTGGCCTGATGTTCTACAACTCCAAATTAAAATACATTCATCCATTGTGGTTCACACACAGATAATACTAAATAGTTTGTCAAATAGAAAGCTATCCAAAGTTCATCCACAGATGAAGGAGAAATTGAGAAGGAGAAAAAGTCTTGAAGAATTTCAGAACCACTGTTTTGTTTTTTTTTGAACTTTTGAAAGAACTAACTGAAAAGGATTGGTAAGTTGTTTATAGTGAAGGGAAATCTAGTCAGGTTTCAACAGTTCAAGATATCTGGCTTATGTAATGTAGTCCCACGTGGAAAAAACTAAAATTAGAAAACTAAAATCAAAAAATGGAAAAACTTTAGAAAGAGGTTTTCGTACTATTTCATTGTATTGAAATACTATACTATAGTTACAGGAAAGAATTAGGAAGTACCCAAATAGAAACACATGAAAGTAAATACAGTTGACTCTCGAACAATGCAGGGGTTAGGAACGCTGACCCACCCTTCCTCCACACAAACTCAAAAGTCGGCATATAACTTTTGGCTCCCCCAAAACTTAAGTACTAGTAGCCTACTATTGACCGGAAGCCTTACTGATAACATAAACCATTGATAAACAAAATTTGCATGTTATATGGATTATATGCCATATTTTTACAATAAAATAAGCAAGAGAAAAATATTAAAATTACAAGGAAGAGAAAAATGCATTTACAGTACTGTACAGTATTTTTTAAAAAAACATCTGTGAATAAGTGGACCTGTACAATTCAAATCCATGTTTTCAAGGGTCAATTGTATATATACAAATTAATAGAGAAAAACTAAAACACATTTGGTGATTGGACAGTTTTGATTTCATCTCTAATTAGTATAACAATTTGTAGAATCTTATATTTACCAGTAACTTCTAGCATCTAACAAAATAGAAACTTTACCTACTTTAGTATTGTTACTAATTTCTATAAAAATTACTGTGCTTGCCTTTTAAAAAACATGTGTTGGTTGGTTTTTTGACCTTGTTTTTCTCTGTGAGAGGAAGTATAATAGGTTTATCTCTCTTGCAGCCTTTTGTATTTCCCTCTTGGAATCAATAAGGATAAATGAACTTCATAAATGAACTCCAAATAACTTCATAGTTCCTTGAAGTTCCAGTTGAAATTAGTTGTTAATTAATAAAGCATCTACAAAATAAATAGTAAAATCAGGAAAGAAACTTTTTAACCTATTGAAAATAAATTCAAGTAACAGGACACTAACTTATTTTGGCATACCACATTATACTTTACAAAATGAATTCACAGATGTTATCTGACTTCATTCTCAAGGCAATTTTCCCAGATACAAACAGCTGCTAAGTAAGTGGCTTATAATCTAGTAAGGGACGTGAACCTAGATCTCCTGACTAAATCAATTTTTGTTTCACTCTGCTATACTACTTTTCCAACATAAATATTACCAGTAAATTTTGATTCAGAAAAATTTACATTAATATTAGTATGGAAAGACTAGAGTTCTGAATCAGAATCCAGAAAAATAATGAGTTTCATGTGTGTGTCTCTTTATTTGAAAATATAGTATCATTTATTTCTATCAGCCTACTGTGAAAATTAGAATTATCAGTGGGACTGATTTGGTGTTATTGAAGAAGAAAATGTTATTTCAAAAGATGCTTTGAACACCCTAACACTAGAGGAAAAGATTATGAGCCTTTTTTAGCAGGAGCTATGATACGTGAGCAAATAATGTTTTCATGACCATTTCGAAAGTAAATGCATACTAACACATGGAGTATTTAATTATAAAGTCCATGTTAATTTTGATAACTAGAAAGGGGAGGCAAAACAAATTGGTTTAAATCTTTGATGTGTGTTTTTGATGCAGATTTTTTAAAAGTTCATTTATATTTTTCAAAGATTTCCCATGCTTTTTAATAAGGTACTCAGTAAAGTGAAAATTTGCTTACTGGCATACAACAGGATGACTTTAATAACTATTTTTACAAATTTGAACTTTCCAGTTCACAAACTCAGTATAAAGTCAGTATTCTACTTTATGTAAGAGATGATGAGCCACACTGGTTTTAAGAAGGTACTATATTGTTTTGTTAAAATCTCATGCCGATCTATTCTTATTTTTATTTTTTTAATTTTTATTTTATTTTATTATTTTTGAGAGAGAGAGTGGGGTTAGGAAGGGGGAGAGGGAGAGAGAATCTTAAGCAGGCTCCACACCCAGCAAGGAGCTGACATGGGGCTCTATCTCACGACCCTGAGATCATGACCTTAACGGATTAAGCAACCCAGGTGCTCCAGTCTGATTATTTTTAATCTTAAGCCTGAACTGAGCTGTATTGTTGGCCAATTTACTATGAAAGTAATTTTTATGAAAAGATTTTGTATTTTAAATACAAAGATTTATTTCATATCATGTATGGTTTTTGCCTGAATGTCTAGTGATGATATCTACTTTGCAAATTACAGTCTGCTGCAAATCCTGAGACTCCAAACTCAACCATCTCCAGAGAGGCCAGCACTCAATCCTCATCAGCTACAACCAGCCAAGGCTATGTTTTACCAGAAGGCAAAATCATGCCAAACACCGTTTTCGTTGGTGGAATTGATGTTAGGGTATTGTATTCCTATTTCATTTATTTAAAAAAAATATTTAGAGAATAATGGGGTTTGAGACCTGTTGTAAACATAAAGTTTTTCGGAATTTCGTGCAGGTTTGGAATTGGTTTTATGTTTAATAACCTATAGAGACTAAAAGTATCTTTGACAAAGATCTATGGGTGGTTTGGGGATACTTAGGGGAGATATTTCCACATCTTCAAATCTTCTTTATAGTATAATTGAAAATTTTGAATGCTGAATTTTTACTCTTAAAGTCAAATTCTTCTCCATAGATGGATGAAACCGAAATTAGAAGTTTCTTTGCTAGATATGGTTCAGTAAAAGAAGTGAAGATAATCACGGATCGAACTGGTGTGTCCAAAGGGTGAGTAAAACACGTTCAGTATGAAGATAAAATAACTGAGCTATAGTATCTATATAGAGCAACATACAAGAATTCAAAATTTGTGTTCTTACACTTGTATAAATTTGTTGCTTTGTTCCTTTCTTTCATATAAAGGTTAACAGTTTGTTGTCAACTCTTCTATTTAGTCATTTTCACAGTGTATGTAAATATTTTCCATCTTCATTTATTTTACTTAAGTGGATTAATAAGTTTTATCAAAGAGTTTTTTTCTTCATGTATTATACCGTATCTTAAATTTTAACCATCTCGTGTTAGATAATAAATTCAGGTTCATAGATACGAATTTTCTGTTAACAAATGATGTCCCACACTACATTAATCTTCACATATTCTGACGTAGATCAGGGGAAGAAAATAAAAAGCAGTAATATTTATAGAGGATCGATCATGTACATCTAACAAATATTTATCTCAGTATATTCTTCATTCTTTATCACTTCTGTCAATTATTTCATGGAATATTAGAAGTTTTGTACTGTTATGCTGGTGATTTTTATACATTATTTGTCTTTCTAGCTATGGATTTGTTTCATTTTATAATGATGTGGATGTGCAGAAGATAGTAGAAGTAAGTAATCTTATGGCAAAATCTCTTACTTAGCTTAATGATGCGATGTTTAGTGTTGAGTCCTGAATATATATAGCCTTGTATAAAATATAGAAATAAACTTCCTGTTTGAAATCCAAATCTAGAGTAATCTTATGTAACTTTTCAGACCTGTTTGTTTGTAATTGGACATCTGGCTTCATGAACTAGAGACAGGAAAGGTTTCAGACAGAGTGTAAAGGTTTTCGATCAAATTCCAAGACTCTATTCAACACTTGAGTGGTGAGGTTAAGATAGCTTCATGCTGATAAGTTTTGATTGGGTATGTTGTTACTATTGATCTTCTCTGATGGTAGAAATTTTAGAAGACCTGGGGTGTTTACCAAATTCTCGAAAGTAAAGACTGAATGTGATTGTAGTTTTCTTACTGTTTTATTTTCAGTCACAGATAAATTTCCATGGTAAAAAGCTGAAACTGGGACCTGCAATCAGGAAACAGAATTTATGTGAGTAAAGAGAAGAGTTGTTCTTTTTGACATGTATAACTTTTCAGAAAACTAAAAGTGGGCTTTGTTTTCATTTTATTCTTTAAAAAGGTGCTTATCATGTGCAGCCTCGTCCTTTGGTTTTTAATCCTCCTCCACCACCACAGTTTCAGAGTGTGTGGAGTAATCCAAACACTGAAACTTATATGCAGCCTCCAACCGTGATGAATCCTATAACTCAGTATGTTCAGGTAAGAATTACCTACATTCTTCTTCATTTTTCTTTTTTTAAATGGTATTGGAGATTTTATTGATGGGGGGTACCTTGAAAATAAGCCAGTCTCAGCTTTTACTCTCTGTGAAATAAGACGTTGTGGAATTTCCATAATAAGTGATAATACTCTCTGTTTGAATATTTTGAGTGATGGGAAGGAAATCTGTTACTTTTGTTAGAAATTGTTTGTTCTTAGTTTTGTTTCTATGCCAAGCTAAAATCTGTTTCTATATGGTTTGTAAACCTTTATCTTAGAATTGACCTCTGTAGCCACATAGAACATACTCATCCATTTTCCCCACCACGTGGGAACTCCTAAAATATTTGAAGGCAGCTTTTCTTATGTGTTTGCCTGGTTTATTCTCTTAAGTTTGGCAATTCTAGTTATTCTTTATCTGCAGTGATTTTCAGATGCCTTCTTATACAGACTCCTGACTTCTGGGTGTATTCTGGTTCTAGAATGGATAGGTTTCTGAAGACAACTATATTTGTAAATTCTATGAGTTTCTGGCATATAATTTGTTTGGTCCTGGTTTCTTTAATATTTGAAATGGGATTTGGAATACTTACTATCTCCTATTGATGCTTGAATAACTGATTTTTTTCTTTACTTTTTTCAGTTTAAAAGACATTGTAGGAAAAGAGAAATAGTAATGAAGTAGTTCTGTAGTGTCTCTCATTTGTTTACATTTCCCATCTATCTGAAATGTAGGGTATATATTTGTTACTTTTCTTGCTTTAAACATGGTTAGAAAATCCCTACTTGTTCCTAACACTTACTGTGAGGTATTACTTACTTTGGTCTATTCATGTATATATTACATAGACGATTTCAATCAATAAATATTGAAAGATGTAAGGCATTCTATTGTTTTTTTTTTCAGTTTTAGGTTAAATACGGTCTTTAACTTGTAGAAATGAAATACAGAAAGCCATAAAGTGTCCTAAAGGAATACAAAATCGCTTGAAAATGTATTAACAAAGAAATAACAGATGTATTAATATAACTTTAACATGGGAATCTATTCTAATAGAGCTTTATCACCAGAATAAGGAAGAAACTTCCTAGTGGGGATAAATATACATGTAAGATAAACATAGATGGACAAAGTCAGTCACTTCCTCATTTATCTCTTCCTCCTCCCCACCCAAAAGACTTAACATTTGACAAAGAATTTTTCTTTATGAAGCCAATCACTCCAATAGAATTCTGCATTTGTGTGTAGAAAAAATAAGATTTCTTTGTTTTCATATTTTGGTTGTATTAAGAATAATACTTTTTTTAATTTTTAAGAATTTTCCTTGTTAATGCATTTTTTCTATAAACTTTATTCTTAGGCATATCCTCCTTATCCAAGTTCACCTGTTCAAGTCATCACTGGATATCAACTGCCTGTATATAATTATCAGGTAATTTAAGAGGGAACAACATGATTTACTTTGGAATATTATTGAGGCCTTTATTCATATAAATTTCTCTAATAGTTTGTCATTTAAACTAGTTGTGCTTAAAATAAGGAAAAAAAGTTAGAATTATAGGACCTTTAATTATTTAGAACAAAAGGAACACTATTTTGATGGGAATATCCTTAACACAAAGTTTTCTCTTGTGCTGTCTTATAAGATGTGCTCCTCTTCTATATTTCAACATATATTCTTCCATCCTTGCTGTCTAATAGCTGAAATGTCCTGACTTTTACAAGTTTTTCTAGTGGGATAGGTCAAAATAAAATGATTACTCAATTCTTAGAGCATTGAATTCCAATTATATTTGGTAGTGTTTATTTTAGCTGACTACCACAAGGTAGTAGTTCTCTGAATTTCTCCCATAGATATGAGCATATCTGTAACCCATGACCGTTATCTATGGTGATAAATTCAAAGAACTATTTTTTTTTATTTTTTCTGAAAGCCAACACAGAAAATTGAGAAAAAGTTAGGGTTTATATATGAAAGTAACAAACCCTCAGGTATTAGAAACATAAAGTACTTATTTCTTCCATTATGTTTCTTTTACTACAAGTTCAAGAATCCAGCTTGATAAATACCTCAACATTGTCTTTCGTGTTTGTGAAAATATATAGAAATGGTTAACTAATTGTTACTGCCTTTCTCTCTCTCTCTCTCTCTTTTAATTTTTTTTATTTTTAAGATGCCACCACAGTGGCCTGCTGGAGAACAAAGGAGTTATGTTATACCCCCGGTAAGGTGAATTAGCCAAACATATACTTCCTTTTAGCCAAACATATACTTCCTTTTTTTGTATGTGTGTGTGTATATGTATATGTATTTATTATATTTATGTATTCATTTATTCATTTATTTCTTCATTTATTTATGGAGAGGGAGAGAGAATGGAGGGGAGGGGCAGAGGGAGAGGGGAAGAGAAACTTAAGCAGGCTCCATGCCCAGTGCAGAGCCAGATGCGGGCCTTGGTCTCACCACCCTGAGATCATGACCCAAGCCAAAATCAAGAGTCTGACACTTAATGGACTGAGACACCCAGGCACCTCTTCCTTTTCCTTATTTTAAAATATTTTCTTATTTTAACTGTTAAATGTTTCTTGGCCTTTTGCCATCTCATGTATGCCTAGACATATTTTTAAATTCCCTTTCACATTATGTGTTGTTTTAGTAATTTCTTGTCAACCCAAGTATATTCTTCCATGTGAGAATCTGTGCTTTTCGTTTCTCAGATTGTTCTTACATGTTTAAGCCAGTGGCTGCTCTGCATATAATAGGTGCTAAATTACATATAATCCAAGAAAGCTAGTATTAATACCTATACTAATTCTAATTCAGTGAATTTGGAATTAGTACTGAAACTGTCTCTAGTTTTCTACCCATAAAAAAATCTGTTGAAGAGAAGCAAATGTTTCGCTGTTAATACTGTTATATAAGAAATAAAACAAAAGAGGCTGTTACCTCTGAAACTCTTGAGCCTTTACCTTTTATCAGGATTGGACCTTTGAATGATATAACATGAGTTAAAATTCTCAGGCACTGGGAAATTCTCATTCTATTACTACATGTTGGAGTTTCTTAGAGCTCTTCTGATCTGATTTTGTTGAAGTTTAGAAGACTTTTCAAATAAAAGACTGCCTTAATGCATTTCAGCTATTCAGTTGAAAGTTTCTGAAATAATATAAATTGAACTTCAACACAATCCATATTTTAAATGCTCAGTATAAGCTCACCCATTTTGAAGAATAGATTGTTTAGAAATGTATCTAATGTACATCTCTTTAATTACACTTTTTCATAATGTAGGCTTATACTGCTGTTAACTACCACTGTAATGAAGTTGATCCAGGAGCTGAAGTTTTGCAAAGTGAATGTTCAGTTCATGAAGCTACTCCATCCTCAGGAAATGGCCCACAAAAGGCAAACATCTAATTTTGTTCATTGATATTTATATTTTCACAATTATTTTTTGAAGTTTTAATAATGGCCCTTTGAGATGCAAGCATCTTTTTTTCAAATTTAAATATGGAAGCCAAAAATTACAGAGCTTAAGTAACTAATAATTTGGCAGTTTTTATAAAAGTTGGTGAAATTTCAGGTACTCCCAAGCTTTCAGTGTTTACATATAGTTTCTGATTCAGTAGTTTTCACTCTTAATATTTTCATTGTGTTTAAAACCATACTTTAATAACTATTAACATAATTTGGTGGAATACAGTAGACGGGTAGGTTTTCTCAAGAATCCTCTCTTCAAAAGAGAGATTCGTATGAATTATACCTACCTTTTTTTTTTTTTACCCGTTTAAACATTTACTTAGCTAAAGAATAATATACAGTTGTTCGTGGTATTCTCTCTATAACATTATATATAGTAGCTTCATAATAGTATATATAGCTCTCAAGAGTGGTGGAGTCACTAGTGATAACTGAAATAAGTGGGGTTGCTTCTTCTTTTTTAATCATTAGAACAAATTCCTTTACTAACAGTGCTGTCTTCAGTGCTCCTATGTTTTTCTTGAGTAGGTGGGAATGTGGAAGTAGTTGATGTAATGGGAATGTATGTAATAACATTGAAGGTTTCCCATTGGATTGTGTGAACTTTGTCCTTGTGTTTCTCAGTGGAAGAAAATGTTGAGAACTACTCAACTTAGAGTAAAAAAAAATCCTTGATTTGAGTGATGATTAGAATAGTTATAATTACCAGGTTTTATCTTGGATAGTTTTTCTTGGAATGTTTAAGTTCACTGTTTCTTATCTAGCAGGAAAAATTAAAGAGCCTTAAGCAAATATCTGAGGGTTTTACTAACTTGAGCTTTACAACCAGTACTCTATCACTAAGATTCTAAAATATTTTTAAAATTTGATGAAAAGTTACATATTAAGTGACATGTAATGAATTACATGAAAATGTAATAATATATTGTGAATTACATATATAGTATTTTATGGATTATATAAGAATTCTTTAGAAAAAAGTACATGTATTCAACTTTCTTTAAAAAGCTTGTTAAAGTGAGTAAAATACGGAAAATCTTTTTTTTTTTCCTTTCAGAAATCTGTGGACAGAAGCATACAGACTGTGGTATCTTGTCTATTTAATCCAGAGAACAGACTGAGAAACTCTATTGTTACTCAAGATGACTACTTCAAGGTATGAAAGGAATAGTATACGGGATAAAAAGCATATTTGTCAGCTATGAAGCATCTCTTTTTCTGTGGTATATACATTTGAGATTACATAGAGCATTTAATTGAACTCTTGGCATTTGTAACTCAGAAAACCTCTGTGAGTGAGTTTTACTTGGCTATTTTATGCTGCTCAAACCTTGATATAGTGTAGTTTGTCCTTAGGGAAGAAACCTTTAGCAGAAGCTTATAATTGAAAAGGTTGTGAAAGAAGAGAATTGAAAGAGAATATTGGCTTGACCAAATGGAAAAAGAGGAAATTTTAGGTACACAAAGCAGAACATACCTTGGAGATACCTCAGGTTCAGTTTCATACCACTGTAATAGGGCAATTATGCAATAAAGTAAGTTAAATGAATTTTTTTGTTTCCCAGTACATATAAAAGTTATGTTTACACTGTACTGTAGTCTGTGAAGTGTGCAATAGCATTATATCTAAAGAAACAGTATATGTACCTTAATTAAAATACACGTTATTGCCAAAAACTGTCATCTGAGCTTTCAGCAAATCAGAATCACTGACCACAGATCACCATAACAAATAATAATAATGATAAAGTGTGAAATATTAAGAGAATTACCAAAATGTAACAGAGACACAAAGGGAGCAATTGTGTGGAGAAAATGGTGCCAGTAGACTTTCAAGTCACTCTAATGGGGGAGGAATATTGTACAAAGGAAAGTTTTTTTTTTTATAATAACAGGTTCATTGAGATGTAATCCACATACCATACAGTAAGCCCATTTAAAAAAAATTCCATTTTTTAGTGTATTCACAGAATTGCACAATCATGACCACAATCAATTTTAGAATGTTTTAATCACCCCTTAAGCCATTAACGGTCACTCTTTATTTCCCAAGTCCTCTACCCCTAGGGAACTACTAACCTACTTTTTTTTAATAAAGATTTTCCTATTCTGTACACTTCATATAAATAGAATAATATAATATGTGACCTTTTGTGACTGGCTTCTTTCACTTAGCATAATGTTTTTAAGGTTCATCAGTGTTACAGTGTGTATCAGTACTTCATTTCTTTTTATTTATGGATATACCACCCTTTGTTTATTGATTACTTGATAGACAATTTGGGTTGTTTCCACTTTCTAACTCTGATGAGTAATGCTGTGAACATTCATGGACAAGTTATTCTATGGACCTATGCTTTTATCTATATACCTGGGAATGGAATTGCTGAGTAATAGTAACTATGTTTAACCCTTTGAGAAATTGCTGGAATTTTTCCAAAATGACTACAGCATTTTATATTCAAAGGGAAGTTTTTAACCATTGTTTTGTGTCTTAAAACAGGGAAAGGAGAATAGCTTTTTTCTATCTATGAACGGACATGGGATGAAACTTACAGCCTTTTTAAAGGGTATACTAAGAACTTCTATTTAATGCAGAAGAGTAGAGCCATAACAGCATTAAGTTCTTACCATCTTCTCAACAGGAAGTAAAACACATTCATTTAAAGTTTTGACATTTGATCTCTTATTTCATTATACATAGACAGTATAATTTAAAAGGAAAGAACTAGGATTGTATGGCAGCCTCCCTTGCCCAAAGTTCTGAAGGTTAAATAGGTAGTACTTAAATGATTTGTTTGCAAAGCATAAAGTATCTCTAAACTTGAGTTTTCACCTGGTATTAGGCAAAAACCTTACTTTGAACCTTCAGTTTTCTGTTCTTCTGGGCTAGGAGTCAAAAGTTGGTAGTCTGAAGTTGTCTGGTATCTAGACCTACTTTGATTAGCCAGATGATACCATCTGGTTGTCCCGTCCTACCTGACTTGAGTTTGTGACCACTTTTCTGGGCTTTAACCTAAATAGGATATTATCCTGTTGACAGATTGCAAAATTTCCAGAAGCCACTCTTCTTTATATGACAACTGAATTTAATCTCTAGGAAAAGGGCACAGTTAAGCTCTTAGAGAAAAGAAAATACCATTGTGTTATTACTAGTTCACTCAGCTCCATTCCTTTTTGTAAGGCCTTACTTCCTAATTTCTGCACATCTGCAGGCAACATTAAGTGAAAGGAAATTTTACATAAATTTTTTATTTATCTCTCCATTTCCTGAAGAATGATATATCTTCATCACGGGTTAAGTATATGTCTTTAAATATGCCAAGATTTTTATTTTTTAACCTAAAAGCGTAGCATTTCAGTTTGAAGTGGAATGCTGTACTCAAGCTGTGATTTCTACCAGATGCACTCTGTTAGTAAAAACCGTACTTTTAAATATTACATATGTTTTCCACCAGCTGTCTTTGGGGGCATCACTGCCAAATCATTAATTAAGAATCTTCATGAAATGACACTGACTCCAAGTCTTCTGTTTCTGAGTTTACTGAGATTTCTTTTTAAATTGTCGAATAAAACTTGTCATTGGTACATTTGTTACCTTAAAGTTCAGAAATGCTTCCCAGAAAGGATCACTTTTCTCTTGTTATTTATAGTTTTTTTAAACCCAGAATAAATGCTTTAAGTATTTTGCAACTATCTTTGGTCATAGTGACAATACAGAATTTTCAATGAAGTAAAAAAGGACTGTTTCTGTCTTTTCTAGGATAAAAGAGTACATCACTTTAGAAGAAGTCGAGCAGTGCTTAAATCTGTTTGATTCTTTCTGCTAACTTTCTAGTCTCATGGGAGGTTGCTGGTTTTGAATATTAAGAAGAGACTGAAAGTTTTCACTATTATAGAAATTTAATTCTGAATTTTGATAACTCACACTCAGACTTTCTTACATAAGTTGTATTAGATTGCCTAGTTTTATTTTACATTGAAACTGTTCTTCATTAGATGTTTATTTAGAAACTAGTTCTGTGTTCAATATATAGTTGAAAGTAAAAAATAATTGAGACTGAAAGGGATAACTTTAACATTTATCTGTAAGGATTTTTTTTTTAATTGAAATTGACATTTTAGGAGTTTAAAAGCAATTGCTGATTTTCAGGAAATTAGAAAACCTATTTTGAAAGGTCAGAATTTTGATAGTTTGAATTCAAGCATTTCACTTCTCCAACAAGTATCTGTGAACAGCACAATATTTACAGTATTGTTCTTTACATTTATGATTTGTCTCAAAATTTACCACAAAAGCAGAGTTTTTAAAACTGTATTTTTAATCAGTGGAACTCAATATTTGGTTAGCTTTATTGAAGTCTTCCTTGCTAAACCCAGTAAGAGATTCTAAAACAGTCCAATCAGTGGGTCTTACGTTTATTAGTTCAAAGTACTTGTATTTTATCTAGAATCCACACATAGATATCCTATTTGATTGGGATGGTAATTAGGATAACTAAAATTCTGGGCCTAATTTTTTTAAAAAATTCAAAACAAACTAAACTAAGTACATAAGCTTCTCAGTGAGTTACCATTCTCCTTTTATCTTTTAATTTTTTTCCTTGAAATGCTAAACTCAATGGCTGTATCTTAAATTGTGCAAAATACTGGTATTAAAGAATCCTGAAACTTTTTTTTATGTCACTTAAAGGTTAATCAGAGTATCTGAAAGGAATTGTTTTTATAAAAAACATTAAAATATTAGTTATTTGTTAAAGAGCAAATAGATTTTATTTCTGCTTGTCAGCCTATTTCCTTTTTTTAAAGTAAAATATGTTTAGAAGAGTCAAAGTAGTTGTGGTGTTTTAAATCCACTAATGTTGCAAATATATCTCTAGAATATACTAGGACAGAGTTAATCATTTCTAGATTAGCTAGTCTCCTTGTTAGATGTTGTAAATTGTGACAGACAACTAGAGCCCTAGAGCCCCTTTGCTGTCCCTACAGTCTTGATTTTCCAGTCCTGTAGCACCATTCTTCGAGGAGGTTTGCTCCTCGAACAGGTGATGTAAAGATGATTAGTAGCAACATGAACAGTTTGAGGGCTAAGCCTTGAAAAGGTGGCAATAGGATAAAACCTTTCTAAGGAAAACACTGTATCAGCATCATTTGACCTGCCATGAAAATGAGTTTAAAGTGGCTTCCTGGCCTTTCTTTCATTGGTCCCTTCACTAAAAACATGGAGACTCCATTTAGCCCTAATGTAAGGCAGCTACCATGGGTCATATCATCAGTCCCCACGGTTGTCTTATAATCCCTAATAATTTTTAATCTGAATCTGAAGGGAAGAGTCTTTTAACTTAAAGATCCCCAAGAGGGCTTTCTTATGCCTCAGAATTTGAAAGTGCCCTGATATTTGTCCTTTAAAAAATTCTCTGTACTTTTTTTGCGGGTGTGCTATAACATTCTTACATGTATCATTCTGTGATTAAATTTCCAGGTTACTCTAAATGATACCTAAATTTGAAAGAGCCAGTTCTAATTATCCCAATGTGACCTTAAGAAAAGAGAATAAACTTCGTTTTTCTGCTTTTTTGTTGGACTGAAGTATTTAAAAGAGTAAGATAGAAATAAGAGACAAAGTCCTGAACCTTTCAAAATGGAAAATTAATTTTAAAACTTGTATGTTCCTATTACCTATTGTTGAAACTGTCTTTGTATAGATGAATAAACAAATAAAGAAACTTTTTTCCCCAAAAGCATTTTAAACCTACTTATTCATGTCATATTATCTAAAGAGATGGTGGCGATTTGGGTGGGTAGTGATGTGACAATGTTTAGATCTTTAAAATTCAAAAGTGTAAATACTGTTCAATTTATTAATCTGATGGAGTTAGTTTATGAAATCAAATCTTGGTACATTGCATAAGCTTTCTCTTATGCAATTAAAGAGATAGGTTTTCATGAGAAAATAATCCCTCTTAGGTTGAGTTGGAAATGGTTAATGGGTTCCAGTGCCATGCATTAACAGAGCAGTGCCTAGTGGGAATGCTGGTGAGTCATATGTTACTGTAGTTTCATGGCAAGGTCCCACTCATTTTGGACTCTCTATATAAATATTTTGTCTACTTCATATTTTGGACCTCACCTCTGTGACCCTTATTTGGGAGTATTGCAGTTGTCAATGATAGAGCTTAATTTTTTCATATTGTATGTACTTCATATGAGGATATATCCAAAAGATCATTACTTACCACCTCTTCCAGTTCAAGCTCCACTACTCCAAGTTCTATAAACTGAGGCCAGAGGAGAGGAAATTCTCCCTTTTGGACAATCCTATGCTATCTTTCATGACTGACTCATTATTAGAAAAATGGATATTAGGTTTTTCTAAAAAAAAAACAATGCCTTCTGAATCACCAAAGATTAAGTTCTGATATTTAAAGTATAATAAATTGCTGAGGATTAGTAACCTTGAAATGTATGTGTGTATGTATGTGTACGTACAAAAATATATACTGACCATTTATTTTCCAGAATATTTGATTAGCCCTGACCAAGCTAAATAACAGTGTATAATATTTTGGGACCCTAAAATTAGACTATATCCTAAACAGTTGTTTTAAACCTGCTTGATATTTTAAGCATATTTGCAAGTTGAGGACTACCTCAAAATTCTCAACACAAAACCAAGTCTTTGGGATTGAAAAAGAAATTTCACACAGTACTTTTTTTTTTTGTAAAATGTTGCAAGTTATGATAAAATCAAGTGATGCCAAAAAGGTTGGTCAGCCCTGTAAGAAGTATATTGTGTGCTTTTTCCCTCCTGAGAACATATAACCTTTGTATTGTTTAAAATAACTATTTAATATTGATTAGCATACTTAAACTACAAGGAATTTGTTGACTTTCAAAAATAATACCCCACAGCAGTTCCTTGTAGTTGTAAAGCCCTCTATCCACTTTCCTAAAATTCTCTTGGTTGTCTTTAAAGGTAAATTCATAAAAATGGGCTGCCACATTGCTTAATCGTCTTGCCTGCTTTCATTACTGTCGTTTGAGGGTAATAAGGAGCAGCAGCGATAAGGCAGTGTGCCACTCTGCTTTCGAAAAGATGGCAGTAGAGAGGTGGGGGACCATAAGGGGGAGAAAAGCGGCAGTGTTTTCCATTGACCAAGTCTTGCGAATAGGCCCAGCTGTTGAGTATGATCATTTGGAATCCCTGAAACACTTCTAGATGAGCATTGCTCCTGTACATATTTTGATAACTGTATAATCTAGCTCTTCCCGACATTATGTGTAATACGTCTCTGTGTGTAACTGAACCTTTTTGAGCAATTCCTCACCACCCATCATCAAAGACTCTGAGTTTTCCATCTGTAGGCCGTACGTTTGGTAGTAGAAAACAATAAACATAAGAAGTTCAAACTATAAACATGCGTTTTTGAATGCTCATGCAAAATATTCAATCTGCATAGCAAAGAAATGATAGGTAATTCTGCATTGCATTTAGAGTTAAAAACATCTGTCCAATATGGCTGTAGCTGTGGGCCAATCCCACGGAAATGCAAAAAATTGTCTCTTGATACAGAAGTTGAAACTAGCACTGTACAATTAAGCTCTACGGTAGCTATATTTTATGTTTTTAACTGGTCTGAAACAAACTTTTCCACTTAGTCTCTAGTTCATTTTCCCAAGGCACATGGAGGCTTTGTATCTTACGTGCACCTCCATTAAGGCTGCGTGCCAGGAATATGCCTTTTCCCACATAAAATTCCCAGATACCAGTTCAGTTAAGTCTTTAACAATAGAACAAATGCTTGCGTAACTGGGATATTGGGGTCGTGAAAGCTCTTTATAAATTTGAAGCGATAGAAACATTTCATGCATTTCAGAAAGTTGGAAGTTTTATAATCCTTAATCAGTTCTTTTTTACAGAAAACAAGTCTAGCAAAAGTACATTAAGGTGTTCTAATCATATTTATTGTCTTTCCCCAAAATAAAATGAATAGAAACACTCTGTTCTGGCTCAGTCTTGGGTGAAACTATTTACTGCAGAAGAAAAGCAGGATTGACAAATCAATGGATCTTTACTTGTATAGCCACATCAACTGTTTACAGTTGGGCTGGTCCCCTTTGCCCTTACACACTTGTAAAAAATGTTTAATATTACCAATCTACCACCATCCCCCCCCCCGCCCAGAATAAATGGCTAGACTAATGGGAATGGAGAGAAATAATTTAAAATGCAGAGGCCATTTTGTCTTTGTTTTTGCCTAAGCTGGTCCCCTACCTTGTGTTTAGTTGCTTCACAGTGTGAGTAAAATCTGGAGACACTATTTAAATAATACACCTGCTAAATGAGAACTACTGCATTTTTTCTTAACATAGTTTGGTTGCTGTTCATCATTCTGGTTGGTGGTATGTCAGTCTTTGACAAAATAAAAACCTGTACACTCACTTTCCAAGGTTAGATCTATAATTAGAACAACCCTGTATTTGATGGGGCAATTTTCCTCAATGATACCAATCAGGAAAGTCAAGAACATCAGAACCATCATCTGGGGTGCATTTCAGAGATTCAGATTCCTGGATCTTAATCTCAGATGCTCTTATTCTGTAGGCCTGGGCTCAGAAATCTGTATTTTTACTATGTCCTGCAGGGGATTCTGATCTCTGCAATACTCACTTTGAGGAATACTGCCCCAGATGAAGATCTCTCAGTATATATCATCTCAGGCTACCTCTAACTTTGGGATAGTTAGATTTGGAGATCATCTCTGTTAGGTCCATTTTGACTCCTTCATAAATGATTTTGTTGGCATAATTCATCTTTTCCTGCCAAGCCTGTGCTCAGACGTGCCAGTTGTCCACACGCAAGGGAGACTCACGAATAAGCTGAAAAGTGGATTGAATGAGGTCTGAAAGCCAAGGCATGTGGCCAAAAATGAATGGTAAGATGGAAGAGGGAATGACTGCAGAAGAAAAGCTGGGTTCTGAGTCCAAGTGCAGATAAGCCAAGGGTATGGACCTAGGGCTCAGCTGGGAAGGGGCAGAGTGCACATTAAGGAGGCAGAGGTAACCATACTTGCCTCCTGGAGGGAGGAACTCTACCTTTGGCCCACTTGGAAAATTTTTTAGAGAAGCATGGCCTGTCATTGCTTCCTTTCCTACCTTGGAATTAATATCTCTCATCCTTAAGAATATTAATAACAAATGAATATTATTTTGTTTTTTAGATGCTAGAAGCATGCATACTTTATTTTTTCTCAATTATTTTACCATTTTAAAAAATTCAAATTCACTTAACATATAATGTATTATTAGTTTCAGAGGTTGAATTCAGTGATTCATCCGTCTTCTATAACACCCAGTGCTCATTACATCACATGCCCTCCTTAATGTCCCATCACCCAGTTACCCTATCCCCCCACCTCTCCCCTTCAGCAACCCTGTTTGTTTCCGATGATTAAGAGTCTCTTATGGTTTGTCTCCCTCTCTGATTTCGTCTTGCTTCCTTCCCCTATGCTCCTCTGTTTTGTTTCTTAAATTCCACATGAGTGAAATATAATTGTCTTTCTCTGATTGACTTATCTTGCGTGGCATAATACCCACTAGTTCCATCCATGTCATTGCAAACGGTAAGATTTCATTTTTTTGACGGCCAAGTAATATTCCATTATGTGTGTGTGTGTGTGTGTGTGTGTGTGTGTGTGTGTGTGTGTGTGTGTGTATACCACATGTTTTTTATCCATTCATCTGTCGATGGACATCTGGGCTCTTTC